CATTTTACTATATTTCATCAATATTTACAACCTGTTTTCTAGTCACATATGCAAATGACGCATTTCATTGTATTAATATTTTAACAATACCATTCATGAATGCTATCTAAGTTCTATAAAAATACAATCGACCATTTCGCGGAACCTTTACAAGCACAACCATACATATTGGTCTATTACTATCCACTATGAGATTAATATTGAAATCATGTCCTCTGTGTTCAGTCTTTATAGACATACATTTATTGTAGAGGAGCAGAAGTTTCTGTTTTTCTATGATAGAATCGGAATATTGGCGAGCATTCACAAGAGGAACGTGCAACGAATTTCTTTTGATCTCGACATGCCCGCAACCTTCTCACCAGCCCTTAAAGGAAATCTGTCATCTTGATAGTTGCTTAATAACTTTCTTTTTAACATTGAACACGTATTACTCCTAAAGCCACATAAACACCATCACAATAACCTGTGAGTCACTATAGGAAATGTTCTTGAACGATAGGAGCATTCCTATGCTTCAATCGTCCTCACGGCACGGAAGTCTTCGCACTGCAACAAAAAACACTCATTAAACGAAATAAATACACAAACATGAAAAAAAAAAGATTTTTAATGGATTTGATTGGATTGATCAAGATTATTACATACGTGTGGTGTCTGATAGGCAAATACCTATTAATATTTACCATTCTTTCTCTCGTATTACATGTATATTAAGATTTTAGGTAATTGCATGTTAGTAGTATTTGTAAGTGTTAATATTACCTTCGTGTCTTATTTTTATAAATACCTGCGCATTACCTTCAATGCCCCACTTATAAGGTTTATTGTGAACAACATCATCATCATCAGCAGCCTTTAGTAGTCCACTGCTGGACATAGGCCTCTCCTCAGAAAAAAGGGTTTGGCCTACTATACCACGCTGGCCAGACGGGTTGATATAGGGTTTGTTTCAAGTTTTCGTTCTCTTTACAGTGTTGTCGTTCTGTGTAGTTTGCTCCCTTAGTCGGCTTTTACGACACGCACGGGATGAATAGGGTTGGTGACACTCTGTATTCTTAACCCGTCACCACACGGACAACAACAACAGAAAACTAAATAAAAAAAATCTTATTATAAAGTAATAGTATAGTTCAATTAAAGTAATCTGCCTCAATTGTTACCATGAACATAAAGAAAACATGTTGCGCCACGTATGATACAGTAATGACCAAATATTAAATATTATTACCTATATTGAGACAAAAATTTCTCATACAAAAAACTTTTAGAACAAAAGCTCAATTGGTCTAAACGATTATGTATTCATTCGACAAAGTGAGTTTTTATTTGTTTTAATTCAAATTGAGAATGAATAATTGATGAAGGTAAACTAAATTAAGCTCGCTTAATTTAATTGTAATTTTTCCACCGGCATTATCGTGAAAAAAACGACCCGTTCAAATTTGTATAAGTCTCTTTTCAAACTGATTCTCCAGTAACTAAAAAAACGGTGATTATTTTACAGACTACTAGAAAACCTTAGGTGGATATAATAACCAGTGGTAGCTGTCTGTACTAACAATATATTATGTATGTGAATAATTTATGTGTTATATTTATTAAAAATTACCCAGATCGTTTCGATTGCTATTCTAACCAAACAACATACCTATCGGTTGGAAAAATAAAACTACCAATACCAAATCTGAAGGTATTATACCCTAATTGGTTTAAACTTTATTGTAAACACAACCTACATTTCAATGCGTAACTTTGACTTTACATAGGTTTTGTGCTCGTGAAATGGAATGGAATGAAATACCAACATAGGCATTGTGTGCATTAATTTCTCAAGCTCTATTGTTCATTAATGGTACCCGCATGAATACCCTAAAACTAACTAACAGAGATTCCGACCTTATTTAGAATACCAAATGAACAATTTCGGTAATATTAATTAAGTCAGATATATATCACATGTTATTATTATTGGGGAAAACGTAAGTAAAGCAGTTCTGAAGCCCTAAAATACAACCTTTTCATAACAAAAGTTAAAAAGATACAATCAAACCACACATGAAAGTTAAAGAGCCCTTAAAAGTTGAGTATATTACTCGTATACTTGAAATTAAACTACACATACATACAGTACATACATGTACTAATAATTGTTTCCGCTATAAGATATTTTTACTACACAAAGATAAACAAATTAGTAAATTTTGCCAATTACGAAATTAAATATTTCATGAATCAATGAATTTTGTTCAGTAAAACAAATGTTTCACCGACTTCACAACTCAGATAAATTTGACAAAAGGTAAACATATGAGCGAAATTACTTCAGGCCAATTCACTTCACGTTGTGCTTCGTAAGAGAATTCATTCAGCGAAGATATTCACGTTTTTATATTAGGTATTTAGGTTATCTAATGGTAAGCAATACTTACTATGCATATACACTCTGTAAAGGATAAAATAGAAAAAAAAACCTTAAAAATACTTGCAAGCAGAAAACAAGCTATTAGAACGGTTTATGTGATTATTTGTAACAATTATTGCATTTAGGTGTATCTATAAAAAGTAGTGGTGAAAAAGAAAGGAAGGTGCCTCTCACATTTATGTTAAAGCTATTTTTTAATGGAAGCCCATAGTCACGGTACTATTATAATACAGTATTGTAACTCGGCCGCATGATAGAAATAAATGCCTACAGCCGCGCGGTACGTAAACATGCGTTAGGGCTGCCCGTCTCCAGCATTTTAGTGATATTTGCCTACTTTCTGTTTCTATTTAGATTTGTGATTGTAAATATCCTTTTTATATAAATAAATGAAATACTTTGTATATTGAATAGGAATTGTTCAATAAAAATGCGTGTTGTTTTTTGATTGGTAGATTTAATTAAAAAACATTTTTTTGTTTGAAAAACCAATCGGGCTTATAAATTAGCGACCGAAAAAAAACCTTCTATAAAATAAAATAAATGTGCTTTCTCCATACGCGTTACAAAACTCCAATCCTTAGAAACTCCAACACCTACCACCTACTCAACTAGAATGCAAGAAACAGCTGACGAGTAAGTAACTTTTTATCTCAGCTAATTAACGTCTCTATAAATTACCTAACCTATAACCTACAACTCGCAACAACTCAAAACAAAAATTCTTTGGTCACCAATTAATTAATTATTAAAAAGCTGAACAGCTGACTACGAATGTTTTAAAATCACAACCCTCAAACATCTAAATATTATATATGAGTCTAGCTGTTGTTGTTAATACCGAGAAAATAAAACCAGTTTTTAGTGGTATATGTTGTTATAGTAGCAGCAGAAACACTTTGTGAACATTTCGAAAACTGTCTAATGACACACAGACGGTAACAAATTTTTTTTAGTATTATTCATACACACAGATAATAAAGATATATTATTAATATAAAATACCACGTCTTTAAGTAGAATTTTCTTTTTTTTGAATTATGCAAAGTAACAAAACAAACATGCACCGAAGTTTTAACACAAGCGTAAGTAGGTAGGTACCTACCGTATCATGATTCATTCAGAACCGCATGTAACTCCCTATTTCACTCGTCTCAATAACTTTCCGTTACTCTATTTGCTTTATTTATTCATCCAAACACCTTTTTTTTCGTGAGATAAAAGGAAATACTTATCCATTAAAAAGACACACATTATGTACCTACGTACTAGTAAGTAAAATTATTTTATAGTCTTACTTTTCAGAGTTTCCAGGTAATTTAAAAAAACTTATGTCTGGATGCGTTATTGACGAATTCATACAACCAAAAACAGCACAATATTTCCTACTCGTCATATTAACTGATTTTTAGAGAAAAAATCGCGCGGTTATTGTTAAAAAAACTACACGCAGTCCGTTCGACACTGCGGTACAGCCGTGACTGTCTGCGCCCCGAGCGCACCCCGAGATCGAGGCGCGTAGGTATAGCTCCCGTTTCGTCCGTTTGTATGAAGTTGCAGTACTGTATTATAATAGTACCGTGCCATAGTATAGTTATAGTATATATAGTTATGTATAGTTCATAATAAAATCAATAACCCATGCAAATTACTTTAATATTAGTATTTTTTACTTATCATTTTTAACTATTTGACTAATGTAAATGTTAAGATTATAAATAAAACTGCTTGATTTTTATGTTATAATATTTTTAACGTTTTATAAACACTGGCTTGAATATTATAATCCGTGTATAGGAACGTTGGATTATGATCACGATGGTCTTGCACTTCAATTTAAAAATATACTCATTCTGGATTAAGAATATTCATTTCAGAAAGTTATAAATATTACAAGGTTACTTTATTGTTAAGCATGAAAACGTCTTAGTAGGGTAGTCCTTATACTAATGATTATGTTCGAGAAACTTTGAAAGTTTTCAAGAAACGTTTTCAATCTATTGGAAGCAAGAAATCAATGATATGTACCTATGATGTAGACTGTTTTTTTCACTCATAAACGTTTTCGGTCTTTGAGCTTAACATACAAACATTACTGATACAGATTTTGAATAATATGGTTCATTTATTACAGACGTAAATCAATTAGTTATTAAATAATCAATTCAAAAAGATATAAAAATAAAATTCAAATAATAATAAAAAATATTAAGAGATGTTCCATGCGACACAATTTAATTGTTTTTTACTAGGTTTTGATCGTAGTATTGAGTTTTAAGAGTTTGCCTTTAACCTGAAAGTTATACCAATAGTTTCTTGGATCTGTATTCAATAATGTAATAAATATTCGAATTTCATTACAAAGGTATATTTTTCATTAAGTTACCAATCATGTTAACAATGAAAAATGCTGAAAAGAAATCAATAAGTCTTTTAACACAGTCAATAGGGGTTAAAATACTCAAGAGAGTAAGGAAGATTATCGTGGGCAAGAAAATTGTGATAGATTGATGATTGAATAATGCAAAGCAATGATTACTCACATATCCATATTTATATTGGAGATCGGCTGTAGTTACCTTTTTATCTTAACCGTGCACCTGTAGGGAGGAAACAAGATTATGGCTATCATCAGTTTAGGGTAATATGCATGCGGTTAGCAAGGAAAACTAGAAAACTATATCACAACAAACATAAAAGCGAAAAAAAACACAACTTAAAAACTTACGTGTTCTGGTTATTAGACTCCGAATGTGAAGCCGTAGGTGGTAAGAATCTCGCCAAAGGAGGCTGGAGCAACATCTGTCGGAAAGTCTGTCGAAACTGTCTTGACATGGAACAATACAGGATAAAATTGATAGCCCCGTTCAATAGTGCCAGGAAGTCCATCAGCTCTCCAAATAGATCATAACATCGCTTGAAGAAACACCATCCTAACAACCCACTCATAAGACCCAATATTCCTTGAGGTAACTCCGTCACAAGAAACAGTAGTAGCACTGCTAAGAGCATCTTAGTTGTTCTATCAGTTCTTTTGTCGGCCTTGTGCTGTCGTTTGACCATTTTTTCTGCAGCAGGACAGGAGTTGTAATTTCTTAGTTTCTTTTGATGTTGGTTCGCTTGGTATAGAGCTCTTATAAGCCATATACTGATAACAGTAAGTATCGAACAAGGCAACAGTTTTATCACTACACCATGAACCCAAAAGTTAGCTTGATACAAAGTCCCTTGATAATCAGAGTCGACGTGGTACGCAATATCAGGATTTCCAAACTTGTCTGTGACGTTCTTCGTGTGAATATCAAACACCTGTTGGACAATGAAAGTGTGTATTTAATGATAATTAACATTGTATTAAAAAACAACAATAGCCGTCGGACACTTGACTGCATTAATATTGAATATGTAAATAAGATGTTGTTTTGCTGGACACAATACGTTTGAAAAGAAAGGAATGATGAAAACATAGCCATAGGATTGCGTGGTTCTGACTAGAGGACAGCACCATCTAGTATCAAGTAGGGCACAATGCTACGCATTGAGATTATGGTTCTTATTTCCGATACTTTCTTGCAGTGACATCTAGTGTCGAATATAGGACAGTATTGTTTTACGACACGGCGAACTAAAATCGATGTGAATTTCTAGTGCAACTAACTAGTTAAATAATGATTTCTTGTTTATAATCGTGAGTATTTGTAAATAGAGTGCAGTAAAAGTAATTAACCGACAACTTTTATTTTTTATATACCCCGCTTGTAACACTATGATAGATCCCTGAGTATGTTATTCGAAAATAAACTAAGAGACTTCAGATGTAACTGTTAAACGTAATACAAAAGAAAGTCTAAACAGGTTGACTCGACCTAGGTAGGTATAGTTTTACAGGCGACTGAGCCGACTGAAATCGAACGAGACCTCTCCCCGTCAGCAATCATTGCTGCCATGCTGGCGGGTGAGTAGGGTTCGAATATAGGGCATTGAATATATTTAAAACCATCACCAAAACCAGTAAATAACTGAATCATCTGCATAGTTATCCATTAAACTGCTACGCTGACATATTATTTTATTTGGTATTTCCCAAAACAAAAGTGCTTTCACAATGGGTCACTGGTAACACAAAATATTTGTTTGAAATTAGTTAAAACCAATGCAATTAATTATATCCTCAATTGATAATACATACAAAAATACTATTATAACTAAGCACACAACACAAGAAATATGTTGGTTTTGTTACTCACCATAAAGGTAGGCGCACATAATATAGGCGGCAATAGGAAGCTCGTTAATATTGCTATGCTGCACCGTCGTTCCGTACACAGTATGTGGCTTTTGTCAGAGTAACTGGAATACGTTAATTAATTAATTATCTTACATAGAAAATAACACAAAGTTTCTACTATGCAGTTTCTATCTCTGGTATAGCATAAATTAGTGCAATGTGGTTCCTATAGCTAATGCTAATAAACCCAGTTCTAAGTTTTATTAAAACGCATTTCTTATAAAAGCGTGATCTAAATACTAGTAGCAACTACTTGTCAATAATTTGTAGATTTTTCGTAGTTTTTAGGTACCTACAGTAATAAGATATCAAGGAATCTCAAAAGCCAAAAGTATTCTATTCAACTTTATTACAAAGTCATTTATAAAGGTTCGAAATTAAATAGGTGAGATAAAAACCAATAATAAAACTTTTCTGCTTTAAATCTCGAGAGATCTTTGTAGCCTTATTGAATCAACAGATGGAAATTAAAAACTTACATAAGCCAAATGATATCTCGGGTATTTTACTATCAATATATAATATTTCAATGATCAAATGTAAAATTGAAAATGGAAAGCCTAATTGCCAACCACGCCTAATTTCAAAGTCAAAACTGCTGCAGGTGAATAAAAGTATAAGTTTCACACAATTACAATGAAAAGCTCCCTTTTAAAATATATCATAATTATTAATAAAAAATTACAAGAAATTTATTGGAAGGGTTTAAAGCGTTCGAATTGTATTTGTATTGTAATGCATACAATTCCAAAGCTGTATTTTTTTTTCACTGTAAAAATGGAATATTAATAATGGAGTTTGACTCAGGACTTATTCATTTCTAACAACGCAACATTCAAACGACTGGGCCTGTTTGAATGTGTGGATTTAAATGGCATCGTTTTTTACATTTCATATCTTATATATAAAATTCTCGTGTCACAATGTTAGTTACCATACTCCTCCGAAACAGCTGGACCGATTTTCGTGAAATTTTGTGTGCAAATCGGGTAGGTCTGAGAATCGGCCAACATCTATTTTTCATACCCCTAAATGACAAGAGTGACCCACCCCTATTTTTTTTTTCAATATTTAAAAAAAAATAGTGTATATGGCAAAACAACGTTTGCTGGGTCAGCTAGTAATATATAAATGCCATACACTTTATGCCTACTAATATCAACAGTTTTAGGTATGTTTTAATAACTATAACGTTACACTATAGTTCATCTTTTTATTAGGAAACATACCCCAATTTATTGCTTTCATATAACTCTATTGAGTTATCATCATCACCAGCCTCTACCAGTCTGGACACAGGCCTCTCCTGAGGAAGGAGTTGTCTACTATACCACAGTGACCAAACAGTTTGCGTCAAGTTTTCCTACTCTTGTCAGTGCTGCTGTCCTGCGTAGTTTTGCTCCCTTAGTCGACTCTTACGACACCCAAGGGATAAATACGGTGACACTCCGTATTCTTAATATGTCACCACACGGACAGTAAACATTGATTATCGGTATCTATTTCCTTATAGTTCTTATACAAAATCGATGACCTTATTCATCAACTAAAACAGTCATACAATTACAACACTAGTCTTATTTTCATTACAAATTTTTGAATTTACCTACACAGTAAATACCATAAATATTTTCTTAAAAAAACTTCCTGGAAACCGACCATAATTAATCATATCAAATAATTCTATTCATGCTCACGGTTCATGTAAAACAAGAGATTGCTAGCCGTTCATCTACCAAAGCTTCGCACGGGACGTAATATTTCAGCTTCAGAATAGTTTATTTCAGTCTCAGGCCAGGAACTTGTATTATTAGGTTTCTCAACTTCTCATCTCAACTCTTCTCTTTAATAATTAAGTATGATTAATTATTTAAAGAGGTTTATAGCGAAACCGATCCACTTAATCACGGTTGCTGTTCCTCTATTTAAGACAAATTCCTAATGACAGCTTGAGAAGTTTTGTAGTATCAGATATTTTTTAATGGGGAACACCCAAATACTCCGAAATATTTAATTCCGAATTTCGATGTTCCGATTATCAAAAGTCCGAATTTCATAACACCTAAGTATTAAAATGTATATTACTAAAATTCACGTTTTTTTACCGAAAGTCGTAAATGCGATTTATTTGTTATCGGTTATTTATTCCAAAATCTCGATGCTCAACATTCGAACAACAACTCAACTCGAATTTCAATACTTTTAATAAACTGTTAAAATTAGGATTCTGATTATGACTCGGTTAGTGTGATATTCATTTACGCATATATTGTCAAAATGTATAAGTAATGTTAAATGTAATTTAAAAACGTGTACTTGGTTATTAATATTTGTGTATTTTCTTTTCATGTTTTCTTCTTGTCCTTAAATATAAATGTGTCGGGTACCATCTACTGTTATTGAATTCTTTGGTTAGGTGAAAATTTACGGTTAGGTAAGGTCAGAACTGTAACCATGAAAGCGCAAAGGCGAGCGAGCGTAGCGAGCGTGTCGCGGGAGCAATCGCGACCGAGATATTGTTGGTGAATCTTTTGGGTTAGGTTCGAACTTGTAACAGTTATTTTTTTAGTATATTTGTAATGCGTACGGACTTGTTAAAAGCGACACCTGTTGCCCGCGTCGCATTGTTTTTTTGATTTATCCAAGGTAGTTTAGAGCTACAGTATTGATTTTCTTCGTTCGCCGTCGGACCACTAGATGGCGTTTGTTTGACATAAGTCTTTTTATTAATCTATCATGACAAATTGTATAGGTATTAAGAGTGTTTTGTTATGGTAGGAAGCGAGTTACTTTTGATTTTGTTCGTGTTAACCTCGTTCATAATTTAAATGTCAAAGTAAAATGTTGAGTAGGGAGTATTTCTGGAAGCTTCGGCAACCGAACATATATAAGTCCGGCTTTCAGCCACGGGAGACACTCTGCTATCTCGTGTCTTCCAATCTTAAATAGTGTTTTGATTGTCGTGTGATTTGATTTTCGTAATAAATTATCTGATCAAAAGTACCCACGAAAGTGGTGAGTATGGTCTTAATTTTTCTTGTACCTATTTGTTTCTGGAACCTGATCAATAATATGAGTGCTAATCCATTCGTAGGGTCCCAGATTTCGAGGTCAAGACGGTCAGTGTCAGACGGCGTGCTTGTTCGTTTGTGGCCTTCTGGTTCGGATTCAAGTTTCTCGGTACCCTCTGGCAAGCTGGCAATCACGCGGCTCACGAAGCAAGCGGACAGCCGTACCCAAGGGTTACGTACCTCTATTTAAATTTATAAATACCAATTGTGAACTTTTCTCAATACCTAATATAAATAGCCGACTCGGGCGGAAGGGGAAGTGACCTCCTGGAGTGAAGACGAGGAGGCTCCGAGCACCATCAGCTCGGCTCTGACGCGCTCCGCTGCGGTTTTTTCTTGTACCCACTGATTAATTTATTTAATTTTTTTTATTGTAAATTTAATTTTGTTTTTTTGAAATATACATGTATGTATGACTGAGGTGTAAGTTGTAAGTCGATTTTTTTTTTAATCGATCTATTGAATAAAGTATTTTCGCATTTAAGTAGTGTAACATTTTTTTATAATTTAGGGGTAAACAAGATTCAGTCAACCCCAATCTAAGATTTCTGTTAAGGAAGTTTTAATTTCAGACACAAGGTTGTTTTGGCTCTCGATGTCGTTTTCCCCGTCAAAATTTGGCGCGGCCGGTAGGCAAGGCATAATCCATAAGGCATATCCTGTGCTATCATCTGCATAGCAATGGATGTTGTGGATTTGCAACAAAATCAAATCATATGCAGAAGAAATAGGGAGGATCATAGCACAAAGCACATAGCAGTCTATAGCCAATACAACAACGGTGACAGAATCCTCAACGACGTTGGGATTATCAGGCATAAAATAAACCTGCTCCTATGGGTGGGACGGTAAGTGAAAATTATACCTACTTCATTTTGCATTACCCAAAACTGAAGTTGTAATAATAACTTTCACATCAAGTCAAACTAATAAGTCAGAGCCTTGAAGATTTGCACCATGTCATTTGGAACACATTGTACTGTACAACTCGAACCTTTGTATGGCCTCAATACTGGTTCAATATTGATGTGAATGGTAAGGTAAGTATTAATTTGACTCTGAGAATAATTTTATTATTACAAATGATATTAAATCGTGGCTGTTTGTATAAACTTTTTCTGTGAATAAGAGGTGAAAACTCCTAACTGTTCACAGAAATAGATTACGAATAGTCGTTATATATTCCGCTCAATTTGACAAATGAAAAAAGATATTTTCGTTTTTTGTCTCCAAGACAGATAATTTCATTTTAGACAAATGAGTCGATTACGACACTCGAGCTCATTGTATTCAACATTATCTTATTTCTTCAATGCGTCAAGAAAACGAAAGCACCATATTTACAGCTTCCACAGCATTAATTTTATCCTTTAAGAGACGAATAAAATGTAAAAACGCAACTCCATAAACAGTGGTATTATAGCCGTAAGAAACAATTACAAGAATCAAGCTGTATTTTGTCGTTCTAAAAGCGAATAAGTGCTCGATACTATTAGAGCTCAGGACGTCGTGTCGCTATCGCGCTGCCACAGCGCCTTAAGGTTCTGTCTACACTATGCGACGTTGGCAGCCCGCAATCGCACCGACACGCCGACTCGACCGACGATGTGCCAACGTTGCTATAGCATGCCAGGATTTATTTTATACTTTGTTATTTACATTCCATTGCCTTCAAAAGTTCACGGGCTTCGCAAATATTAGTAGAAGTTGAGTATGAATTTTTATTTGCGGGATAAAACTTGAACTTGTTTAAAAGTTTAAAAATCAAATGTTAAACTCTAAAAACCTTCCAAGAAATCAAAAAATGGTAAAGTCAAATTTTCGTAGACGTTCATTAAGTAATGGAATTCACATATAATTCAGAAGGCCAATTCGCCAATTTATTACGAGAATTGGCCTTCTAGAACTAACTAAACCAAATCTTATCTAATCTGATAACAGTCTCTTAGAGTTCTTAATTTAATTTTTCTAATATCTGTATATGTGGTAGGCGGAGACTAACTTTTTAAATTTAAATCTGATTGGTATATTCAAATATTACACATATTACTATGTGTAATATTTACGATAAGCAATATATAACTGAGACCAAACCAAACCAAGCGTTATTGCGGCGCAATCTAAATGAGCACTTATAAAGAAATGTGATGCTATATTTGAGTAAATTAATTTCTTTTAAAAACTGTGTACAGCAGAGCAGGTTGTAAAACATGTATCATAAATGCAATAAAACCAAAAGTCTTAACACACATTTAATGCTTTGCTTGACGAGTTTGATAAATCTAAATTAACAACCTAGAAGAGTAATTTCCATAAAGTAAAGTAGTCCATAGAAAAAGAAGAAAAATTAACAACTTTGTAAATAAACAAAAAAAACCAGTAAGTAAAAACTACTACAGCATACAAAAATACTTAGATGATATACACTAATTACAAAATATTGACTGAAATCCATGATATTAATTTCCATTTGAATATTCCATCAAAGAATAATTGAATAATACACAAAGCGTAATCAATAATGAACTCATAATACCAAAATTAGAACAAATGTTATTTAGTGTTGTGTTGACATTGTATGAAATGATAATTATTTGCATTAGACTAACCCAATTTATTTTTGAATTGTGTATGTGAACGGCATTTAATATCATATTAACTTTGTTATATAATAATTGATATTTACATCGCATTTAACCAACTTATTTTTGTATATAAATATCCGAATGACATTTAATATAATGTAATATTGACTAAATTAAAAACACCAAATTTACTATAGTTGAATCAAATTTTTGTACCTAGGACATCGAGTTTATCTACAACATAAATTAAAATGGAAAATAATATAATAAATATAAAAATAAATGAAATTAATTAAGATGTGAACGGTATAATGACTCACCACGGGAAATCGACCGAATAGTGCATTAATACCATATAACATGTGTGCAATAATATACATCATAAACGTTGTCTAGACATAAATAATAATAATTGTTACAAACTCTTCCTCTCTCCTAATATTGTGCTGTACCCGACAGGGTCCATAATTGTAACTTAATTATAAGTGTATTATAACTTAACTGTATTACATTATGGAACGCAATTAATGTATTGAGTATTGAGTAATTTCATTTCATTTACTCGAAAATAATCCAAAGTTATTTGACGAGCTCATGTATACCGTATTAGTAGTATTTAGTGCTTATACTAACATATATTTATGTTTTATAAAATGGTGGGCATTATGTCATAATATTTCAATGCATATTATCGGAAATTATCTCTGATAGGTCAGCCAATTTACAAAATCAATCCAAATTGTTACTGTTCATAGAACTTTGAGGTAATTTATCAAATATGTAGCTAGAATATTAGCAGCTATCAAATGGTTTTGTGTAGTTTACGAAGATCATGTGTTTAAAAAAAACTCTTGTGTGAGAAAAAAATTGAATGTAGCTTCTTATATACTATTTATATATATCATTCTATAAGACGTTAACATGCATTTTTAAGAAAATTTTGCAAACACTGAATTTGGTGTACTTAAAATGTACCTATGAATAAAATTTTGTAAGTTAAACTTCAATTTTAAAACAAGGTGTATTACAAATTTAAATTTCAACACAGTGTGAAAGTCTGGTAGAAAGTAATTGTGAAAAAAGTGAGAAGGAAAGTGTAATGAGCCAACACGAAATCAAATCGGCCGCGGTTCAACAGATAGGTATGTACTATATTCGTAATATGCCAACTATGTAAACAATACAGACGTGCCCACAAAAACTTGTATATGGTGGTATGATGGGGCAACCCGAGAGGTTTTGTGGTGTGCTTTGAAAGTAGAATGTGTGCCTGCTAAGTATATGAAATGATTTGTGCTATGTACAGAGACTCTAAAAAATGAAGATGAATTCATTTTATCATACATTGTAACCCTCACTAATTAAACAATAAATAAACTCAAATTCTCTTTATTTAAAAAAAAAAAAAATTGTTTGAAAGTTATGTAGACTCTAAAGTCATCGATCAACACACACAGTAGCAACAATCTCTGTTTTGTCAAATAGTAAGCAAATAAATTTAATAAAAATTAAACTTATACAAAATACAATTAACATTACAGACTGAAGAGTTTGTTTGTTTGTTTGATCTCAGTAACTACTGGTCCACTATGAAAATTCTTTCAGTGCTAGATAACCCATTTATCGAGGAAGGCTATAGGGTATATATATATCATCAAGCTAAGACCAATTGGAGCGGAGCACCAATCAAGAATATTTCAAAATCGTTTTTTTTTTTCTTTTGAGAGCTTTCGCTGCGTGCGCTGCGTAAACGGAAATAGCTCCTTAACGTACGTATTATTTAAAAATATTTTCATCTTCTACGTAAACGAAGTCACGGGTTAAAGTTACCGTTAGCCCAAAGTAACTATTCCATGCGGACGAAGTCGCGGCCAGAAGCTAGTCTATGATATGCCTGTGCCGATCTACAACCGCCCGTTTCCAAGGGGTTGACTCTTATGAGAAGAAAGGCAAACAAACTCATGACCACTCTTTAGAATTTACAGCTAGATACAACGGCATTATTAAATATGCCACAAAATGTTCGTTATTAAGGACTAAAAGGTAAAAAGACAATAAAGAGAATCAATATTAAGAAAAAAAACTAATAAAAGAGAAAATGAAGTGAAACATAAAAAATTGAAAAATAATAATAAAAAACACACTAGCCCACACCACATTTTTACTTAAGTAATAGCCTGCGCTAATTAATCCCAAGCATTTTTGTCTTCTATGTAATCCACAATTGAGTAATAGGCTTTCTGACACAATCCACGTTTTATTGCGGATTTAATTTTGTTAATACTTAAGTCTTGAATATTATTTGAGATTTTATTATAAAATCGAACAGATTGACCTCGAAAAGAGTTGTTTATCTTTTGGAGCCTAGAGGCGGGTACTACAAGTTTATTTCCATTTCTGGTATTTTTAGAATGTACAGCACTTTTTTTCAAAAATCTATCTTTGTTTTTATGAACTTATTTTACATTTTCTTATATTGTATATGTATATATTGACTTGCCACTGTCATTATGTTTATTTATTAAAATTTCTGCCTCAATGAACAACGATTGCCTAAATTATAAAGTGCTTGAATCGCTCTATTTTGCAGTATAAAAATAGTTTGAATGTCGGCAGCATTCCCCCACAGTAGAATACCGTACGACATTATGCTATAAAAATAACTGAAGAAGCGATCTCTAGTACAATATAAATATTTAAAATGACAATAAGTTCAATATACCATCTAACTAGACGACAAACTAACAAGGATAACAAAAATAAATGTGAGCAGCATTGCATGAAAGAAAGAATACAATAAAAAAGACAATAGACATTCTTGTCATGGTGTAACAGCAGATGTTTTTATTGCATAAACTGAGGCTTTGATATAACGATAAGCTCATGCAATATTTTCTTGTAAAAACATCATAATAGAACCCAAGATCTTGAAGACATCTAAGGTTTTTATGAAGTACTATGTTATTTATTATTGTGTTTTTTCTTTTGATTGTTTGCATGATATCTACTTCATCTTCATAAGAAATAGAAATATGGTAGATATCTAACCCACAACCCTTGAATTTGCACACGAAAGCTCTACCGTAGCGCGTAATATAGAAAAATAGAAAATATTGTATGTGTTCTTATGCCGTGGTGATGATTTCTTCTATTCGTCGTACATCGTTACTATTCCTTATGTGTTTCTACTTCATTGTTAATTGCAATACGTAATGGGGAGCAGGATTTATCAAATTTTACGTCTCGCGAAAAGCTTGGCTTATCTGCTAATAGCTACTCTGTAAATGATTCTAGATTTCAGATAATTGAATTAACTTTTTAATTTTTACAACATTATCATACGTAATGTAATTTTTATTTGTTACTCAATAAAAGGTTAACCCTACATTAAATTCTCATTCAAAAAATTCTTTACACTACAATTAGAGATATATTCAAAATAAATTATAAGCCTATTATATAAACTACATACGAAGTACATACTTTATTAATAAAAAGAAATACCATGCACGAGTTACAAATATTTATTATTCTTTATATGATACTCGTATAACAAAAGATTATATTTATGCTGTTAGCATTTAAACATTTTATTTCATTGATTAAAAAGTAAAGTACTCTATGATTGACTATTATTAAAAAGTAATTAGGGATTAGGTAAAACCCTAACACATTTCAATTTTAAAATACTTTCATAATACGTTTACCTAATAACTCGTTTTTAGGATTCCGTGGTCCTAGCAAGGAACCCTATACTTTCACCATGTATAACTGTCTGTCCATCTGGTCACGGTTTAGTTTAGTTTTTTAAATGAACATTTTAACGACTCCGAACAAGTGGTAAAATGAGATGGGTACCGGGATTTTAGGGGTACCTACGTTCATACGTAAATTGTAATGGGGATGCGTTGTTTCTTCTCTTCTGTTTACTATGTAGTGTAGACTACCGCAGGATAAGATCCTTGGAAATATCGCGATGGTGTAAAGACTATTTTTCGATTCAGTAATTCGTTTGCGAAATATTGAGCTTTAAAAGCGCTGATTTTCTTCGAACCAAATGCGTCTTTCCCCTACATTGTTATTGCCTACTCTTGGCTATAGTAATTTGAAAAAATCATGATGCTAGCATATATATCTATCTAATACAGCTAATTTCTTTAATAAAATCACAAATTTTAAATAGGAAGTTAAAAACTGAAATAAACACTACACTGCTTAACATAGCTCTTGGCCACTTTTTTTAACACTTGTACAGTATTATTAGTTAAAAACATTCCCAAAATTTTCGTTTATATGGAAAATAGCAGAATGGTTAAAAAGTTTTTTTTATGGTTTACCTTAACATCAAAAAAATGTATACTCACTTAATCGCCAAATACCTCCATATAGCTAGAGATAAAGTAAGACATATGGATGCCGTGTGGAATATCTGAGCGAAATGCATATGGAAAAGCAGGTACATTGCCCATGAGTACGGGAAATCCAATTTTTCCGGTAGTACCTGGAATCAAAACAGATGTTGTAAGAACAGATTTTATTTCTATCTTAAATATACATAACAAAGGTGAAATATTCAGATCACTGCAAAAGACATATTCTTGTATGTCTTACCGAGAAAGTGTGACCGACCGTGAACCGACGCAGTAGAAAATTATTGTCGAATTAGTAGATTTATTTCAATCAACATTGAAACTTCTTTAGCGGCGTTGTACACTTTTTTGTAATGGATAAAAAATGTTAAACTCGCGTCAGGACACGTGACCTGATCGAAAATTCATAAGACGGATGGAGAGTAGACAGCCGGCGCGGCGTAGGAGAAGAAGTATCCCCCTCTCTTTTTACGGCGCGGTGAAAATTTATGCCTGCGCCTGCTGTTTCGTTTAGGCAGCGCAGGGCGCTTGCGCGAATGTTCGTGTGTGTTTATGTTACAGCGTGCCACGCGCATCCATGGATGGTGACAGCGTCTCGATAAATTGTCGTGTTTGTGTACGATAGCGCAATAAATAAATATTGTATTCTACCACATAAATGATAGTACTTTTATACTGATAATTAAAGCAATTCGTGCAAAATTATTCCCTAACCATTCCAAAATATCAAAAATGCACAACGTTAATATTCAAGTTTTCACTTCTGCCGGCACTCCCGGATTGCAACCCGTCGGGTCTTTTTTCTGAAGTAGTTTTTTTTTTAAATTATAATAAACAAGTCCCGCACTATCTTGTGTAGCGGGCGACTTTACAAAGATACATGAAACGGATTACGCCATCCGTGTAGTCAAGTTTTTTATTTAGTTTGAATTGTATTGATTGTTGATATTATTTTTATTATATTCAGACTTTCTTCGTGTTATAAAAGTAATATCCCTGGCATTCCCTACCAGTTTTTTAAATACCATGTCACCAACATCTGTCCCGTTGCCATGAATGGTTGTTATAGTTTATAGTAACCCCCGCGGTGATTGTATATGAAAGCCTCTCGCATAGAAGTAAAGATATATTGTTATATTATAGATCTCTCATTTTTAACATGACGTCACAAAATTATAATATATTAGAGAAATTTAAAACCACGAATGTTATGTAAATGACTTTGAAATTGACGTGGATTAATTTGATTTATTAATATATTTTGATTTTCTTTGATATCTTGCTAATAATGGTTTTATTTATGAATCTGTCTGCTAATGAAATGTATTGTGATTAGATTATCATAAAAAAGTGAGGGATGAAGTTATTTAATGGAAGGTAAGTCAGTTTTTTTAAAGAAGCAATAATTCGTTTTCAAGTTGTACACCTCAACCTTGTCCATCTTGTGTGCCTCTTGGTGAAGTATTTACAGTAAAGCTGTTGCATAAGAATCTAAAGGATTATCATAGAATCAATCAACAGCTATGAATGACCTTGATTAAATATTTAATTAATGTTGTTGTTATTTTAGAGAGTCCATGTTTAGTGGTCTCTACCACTCTCTACTAGAGTTAAATATTAACTACTGTACTATATGTCAGTCGGTAACGGCTAAACCGATTTTAATGAAATTTGGAATAGAAATACTTTGATTGCTGAAGAAGGACACTGCTGTAACTGCGTATTCAGTAGACATTCCATGTCCGTCCGAACCCGTATTGTGAAGGTGTTTAAATTTCTCTAAGTATCCCAATAGTCTATTATTTAGAAGCTTCTCTATTATTTAAGAGATGGAGGGTAGGACCGAAATTGGCCTATAATCACTGAAGTTGTCTTTATCTCCATTCTTGTAGACAGGTGTCGAGAGAAGACAAGAAGTGTGTAGTCACTCTGCTCAAAAGCGTCGTTAACCTTACTTTCAAAGAATCACAACGCCCTTGCGAGTAAATGCGAAAAAAAAACGAAAACCGATTATTTTTAATAACCGATTATTAATTAAATATGCCAGTTTAAGTTTTATGTATATTAAGTATAATATAATTTTATTTTGCGTTAAACTTTAACAACGTTTTATAAAGGGTTATATAAACTGTGAAGTGGAGCCCCGAAATTTTAACTGCTGAAAACCACAGAGAGTTCTGTCACAAAGGACAATACTTATTAATACATACATAATTTAGGATTTATGTTAAAAAATTAAACGTTGTTCTTCATTAATTTTTTTAGCGTAACTCGTAGTTTCGTAAAAAATTTTTAATAAATCAAAAGAAATAAAACTTGAAATCTTGAAATTATTACTGTAGTTCTATAAATATAATAATAATACTAATAAATTACAAATAAATAATTAATTAGTGGCATATTTTTGAATCTTTTTTTATAAGTGTATGTTTAAAAATGTAAATAATATGTATATAAAAGTAAATAAAGAGAGGAACAATAAATTTATTTAAGTAGTTTGCATGGCATACAGAGTTGTCTTATATACTTACTTAAATTTTACAAGGAAAACCAGTAAAACAAATATACAATAGGTCATAAGACTCTCGTTTCTAAACAAGGCAGGAAACCTGTCTGTATCTTAGAAAAGAGATAAAGACAATAAAAATTATAACCAGCTGCTTGAAGTTTCAAATCGTCGAGATAACGTGAGCAAATATAAAACAAAGTGAAATTCACCTGCAATCTATCCATCAAATTGATTGACATTTTAAACAATATGTCAAGGAAATGCGGTATAGTGATCGAGTGATACATATTTTGCAATCAGGACATAAAAGTGAAGTAAATGTTGAAATAATTTATGTTTATGAACAATTTAAACTTGAATCGGACATTTCATTTAACTTTTGCGTTTGGCACCAACATACACCATTTGTGATAAATAAATTAACTGTACCTTAGAGCTGCTTATATATTTAAGATTTGTGGGAAGCTTTTCATTATCAGATCTTGCTATTAACTATTATAATTACGTCGTGAATCTTCAAACAAGACACTTTAAAATAAATAAATTATGTCTGTATTGTCTTGACATTACATTTTAAAATTTAATTTTTTTAAAAGAATCTTGGTATATTGTTTTTTTTTTTAATTTATGATTAATTACGATTACGATTAATTAATGAGTAAATTCAATTACATATAACAACCGATGCATTTTCAATAAAGTACACAAAGTTCACAATTAGTACGCCATTGTGTTTGGCATCTCGCATGAAATATCAAATTAATTACAAGTTGTCAACAATCAATCAATTAGCATAATTGGCTGCTGTGCTGTTGCCCCTACAGAGGGGTGTTGCCACAACGAAGGTTAGACGTTGTCAGCTATACTTACTATACTATAAAATAAGTACATTGTTTTCACATTAGGTAGAAGGTTTTGGCCTACTATACCACACTGGCCAGATGTGTTGGTTTAGGGTTTGTTTCAAGTTTTCCTTCTATTTCCATTGCTGTTGCCCTGCGTAATTCGCTGCCTTAGTCGGGATTAATAAGGGTGGTGTCACTTCGTATTCGTAATCCGTCACCTAACGGACTACATATAGGCTACTTGGATAATAGATAATAATCACAGTGCGGACACACGAATCGCAATCCCAGCCCTTTTGAGCATTGACATTCTCTATTAATGAACCTTTGGATGGCATATAAATCTTGTAAAGTAGGTGCATTGAGATTACAAATGTTATCAATGAAGATACATACATAATTATGTTTTTAAAATAAAATAAGACGATTTGGGTAATTGTTCATATTACTTGTGAGCTTAACAAAACATGAATACACCATACATTATGGTAAAAACACCATGTAGAAAACACTGTAAAGACAAAAAATGCAGAGTTGTGAAAATAATTCTATTATTCAATTTAACAATAGAATGCACCTGCACCACAATGTACTAAATCAAGTGATATAATCAAAACAATATGCGCTTGCTACATTTTCTATGACGCATTTATTTTATTATATTGATAGCCCATTGATAACTTTGAGTTCCTAAAAGAAACAAAGTATTATTAGTATCGCTTTTCGATATCAATGTCGTCGATATTTTCGTCAAACTTTAGCCACTCTTGTTGGTTTCCTCTAGGATTATTACCGTCTCGATCGACCTCTGCAAAACTTTTATCATTGACAAGAAGCTACTGAAAGATTTATATCTTATGGGTATTGGTTCTTCGAACCGAAATTAAATGTATTTCAACACAAACTGTAGACTATATCTCTAATGACACCATTTATGTCTCGAATATTTTTTAATAATTATTTTGTAAATTAAAAGCGAGGTATGTGAAATTTGACTTTAAAAATAAAGTCATAAAAATAGTATAGGTAGAAAGGACTTCGACTTCATTCGTCTTTAAGACTAATATGAATAAGTCTTAAAGTTGCTTACAAAACTCTTTTGTTGATTTAATTCCTGCTAATACAAACAAATAGAACTTAATAAAATCAGCAGATGTTAGTAATGTATATCCATTTAATTCTTGAGTCCTTATTACGCTACGGCTAACTATTAACTTTAAATAGAAATATAGGAATTGAGATAGGATTTAAACCCTGAATTACCTAAATACCGTTCAGGCAGTCTGCGACAAAGTTTAAACTAGTTCTACATTAGGTCGAAATTTACATATCGTCAAGTGAGCAACATAGCGTAGAGAAATAGAGAGTTTCGTAAACAAATGCAATTGGACTATAAATTAAATGACATTTATAGTGACAGCAAACATAAATAGTACCTCATAGTAATTGTTACATTATTACACTCTTTAAAACATCGTCACTTAAAATTATTTATGCGGTTCATTGGAAAAGTATTTTTTTAAACACATGTATGTATTTGAAAAAAATACTTTTCCACGACTCTCACGTTCATATCCACGTAGGTTGAGGCGTAATGAACGGCCATACTATATTTCATCAATCATCATCATCATCAGCCTTTCACAGTCCACTACTTAACATAGGCAACTTCTTAGAAAGGAGGTTACGACCTACTACACCACGCTAACTAGACGGGTTGGGATATTGTATAATATAAGATATATGAGATATATGAGCTCATCGTTACTGGACTAAC